TCCCGCGCGCGCAGCACCAGGGTTGTGCCAAGGAAAAAGGGGGTGCGCTCTCTACTCCCGCCCCGTCCCGCGCATTTGCCCCCGGGCCAGAAGCAGGAAAGGCTTTTGCACGCCCCTCCTGTCGTCTCCCCCCGTCGGGCGGTAGTCCAGGAAGCCGAGACGGGCCCGTGAGAGACGGGCAAGCGGCGGCCACCCACCCCTCAGCTGCTCCGAAAAGGCGCGCCCTCGTTCGCTGGCCTTGGCACTTGGCCATCGTAGGCGCCTCACTTGGACCAGGTTGCCTCAGTCATTGGGGCAGCCGGCCTTAGAAGGAAGGGCCCGCCTAAAAATGACAGGCTGGCGGCGCGGAAGAGGGGGGACGGCGGCGAGCGAGAAACACCCAAACTTCCTCATAATAGGGAATTTCATCACAATGAATCGCAGTTGTTCTAGTCTCAAATTCCCCAACGGAAGGGCTGATGTGTCAGACCTCAGGGTGGCAACCACGGCCTTAGCTCCGTCGTTAACCCTCGGAAGAGCCCTGAGGAAACACTGCGGTCACGGGGCTGAAGTAAAGGAGCAGGTCGCCCCGACGATCCCGCCCATAGGGAGCCCAGCTATTTAACCTGCTCATAAATGATCCGGAACGAGTTAGGAGGCCGGAAGCAGCGAGACACCCCATTTTCCACCCAAACCCCCAACAGACTGCTGAGCTTTGAAAGGATTTCTCCAACCTAAACAAATGGCCGGTGCAATCTGAAGTATCTTGAGACACACAGGAATTTCTGGTTTCTTTACTTGTTGCAGTTATTGATCCCGGGTACACTGATGGGGCCCTTGGGAATAGTGAAGCAACAGCTCTGGACAAAGGAAAATCTGGTGCTATGAGGAGAAGGACGGTAAAACAGATCTCTGTGACACCCTGACAGAGGTTGATGGTGAAACCTCACTTGGAATATGATCTCCATTTTCATTTTTTAAATTTATATTTAATACAAAATAAATCTTCTACTACTACACAAAAAAACCTACATAAAATACAAAACAATAAGATACAATTACCCATGTGCACCCATCACCCTCAGGACTAGTATTACAGTTCATTCCATCCATTTTCACTCCAAAATTTCATTGTTTCTTCCCTTGGTGTAAACCCCCTCCCTCTCCGGAATATGATCTCCAGTGCTAACTGTCCTATCTCAAAATGTATATCCATGATCTATCTACAGAAGGACTATCCTGATAATAGATGAGAAGATGTGAGCAGGTGTTGGTAGCAATTCAGAAAAAGGCAAGGAAGACATGGAAATTCTTACAAGTTTTGTGTGGCAAAAACAAACACTTTTCGTCTCATAAGAGTCATCCGTAGAAAGATTAGCAGGGCAGATAAGATTCAGGACAGAAAGACAAGCACTTCTTCACAAGTAGATAAATGTGGAACTTTGCTGCCACAAGATGTCTTGAGATAACTTTAAAAGGATATGAGTTAATAGAGGATGGATCTATTTTTAAAAATGTTTATATCCCACTTTCTAGCCCTAGAAGAGAATGTCAGAGCAGCATAGATATTAAAAGGTCTTGTATTCAAAACACCCCAAAACTGTAACATGGTGAGTAATCAAACAAACAAAAGAACACAACCCAGCATCAGGAAGAAGTAAAATCAGCCTATATTAAAATCCAGACTGAATGCAAAAAAGCAAGTTTGTAGCAGCTGGTCTGAAACTTAAAAGGAATGAGGCATGCCACAAGCTATATTTTAGGAGATCCTGTTCAGGGTTTCAGCCAGCTGCGCATCCGCTTTCCTGCTGTAAAAAGTCTCACACAGTTCACAATCACACACTTTGCCCAGACATTCAGCATACACAACTAAGATTTCTTGTGGCACCTTAACGATTAAGAAATGTTAATGGGCATACGTTTCTGCAGACTGCAGTGCACTTCCACAGACGCATTCATCAGAAATGGGCTGTGGTCCATGAAAACCTATGCCAAACACAGCTTGTTTCTGCAGTCTGCAGTGCACCATCAGAAATGGGCTGAGGTCCATGAAAACCTATGCCAAACACAGCTTCTTAGCCTTTAAAGTGTTGTTTTTACTGTAAAAGATTAACATGGCCACCCTACTGCCCCAGAAACTTCAAATCTATGGCTCTTGCAGAAAAGTACAGCCTGTCCTCATTGCACTGTCTCCCCCTCCCCCAGATGCTGCTTTGGGCAATTGAAGAAAAATATATGCCCCAGAGCTTACTCATACATGCAGTATCTTGTTTTTCTAGAGTCCCAGTTTTGGCTCTCATATACTGTACATTGGATATGAAAAGGAATATTGTAATGGGTGTGTGGTCAGACTCAGAGGCAGCATGTCCCAGGAATACAGATTGCAAGGGACCGAAAATGGGAGACCACCTTTGCTTTCAGATCTTAACTGGGGGATTCCCCAAAGCGTCCTTTTGGTAACCAAACCCTTTGGGGGGAAGGGATTGCTTGACCTGTTGGGCCTCCTCTTAGGATTTAAGTAATAATGTAGATATCTATTTAAGTAATAATGTAGATATCTAGGCATATGTATATAGAGGAGCCCAGGAAAGGAAAAAGGCAGATCTTCACACACACAGGAGACTCAACAGTAGTAACTTATTTAACCACATCTAAATCTTTGTTTCAATCTGTGCAAGGACATCAAAATATTCACCTCCAATCCGGAGAGGGGAAAGGAAAGGAAAAAGGAAGGAGCCACCAGTCTGTAAAAACCTAAACATCTCACGATGGGCCAAGTCCACTAAAGACCTGGCACTCCATCTACAAAGCAGATTCTAAAGGTTTTCAAAGGCTGGAGAGGGGCTGAAAGGAGGAGACATGTTTGTCCTCATTGTGCTTTGCCCCTGTGGAAGCTGCTTTCACAAGTATAATGATAACATCGGATACTGAGTCCTAGTTTTCAAATAATATTTAATGCTTATGGCTTATTATAAACAACATTGTTTCTAATGCCCCTCCTTTTTAAAGAAAACTTGTTAGTCTGTTCAACATCAAATAAATGGGTATGTTAAAAACAACAAAACGTTAGTCTGTTCAACATCAAATAAATAAATGGGTATGTTAAAAACAACAAAATAAGCATAAAGACTATAAGCCAGGATCTTGCTTGTCAGGGAAAACAAAAGAGAGGGGATTTCACCACCACCCCACCAGCCACTCAAAAAATTAGCTCTGAGAGGTTAGGAGACCCCCTGGAAGTTTTGTAGGCACTACTGAGAGGAGTCCCAGTGTGGTGTAGTGGTTAAACTGATGGACAGGGACTCAGAAGGACTGGGTTTAAACAGCTCCTCTGCCATGGGAAGCTCACTGTAGCAGTGGAATTGGTAAAGGTAAAGGGTCCCCTTGATATTTAGTCCAGTCGTGTCTGACTCTAGGGGGCAGGGCTCATCCCCGTTTCCAGGCCATAGAGCCAGTGTTTGCCCAAAGACAGTTTCTGTGGTCACGTGGCCAGCGCGACTAGACATGGAATGCTGTTACCTTCCCACTGTGGTGATGCCTATTTATCTACTTGCATTTTATATGCTTTCAAACTGCTAGGTTGGCAGGAGCTGGGACAAGCAACAGGGGCTCACTCCGTCGCATGGATTCCATCTTACGACTGCTGGTCTTCTGGCCTTGCAGCACAGAGGCTTCTGCAGTTTAATTGGCAGCGCCACCACATCCCAGAATTGGTAAACCACTCCTTAAATATCTCACTTACCTTGAAGGCCCTGTTACTGTCACTAGAAGTTGTTTCCAACCTGACAACACAGAACACACACACACACACAGTGGACAGTATTGTCATGCTAGCATCTGCGTGTAGTGTTGGATGTACCTAATTTGTTTCCATGCCAAACCTCACAACTCATCATTTTGACAAAACACACGGCTGTAGTTCCGTGTGAAAAAAGAAAATGAAGATTCCATACCAAGGCCATCCAGATTCTGTGCTATGTGCAACATCTTTGAACCTGTATCGTTTGTCCATCTGTGGGTCCTGATGGCAATTTTAATTGTATTTTAATTGAATTTTAATTGTTGTAAGCTGCCCAGAGACTTTTGGGTAGCGGGGGCGGCATATAAGTTAAATAAATAAATAAATAAACAAACAAATAAACAAACAAACAAATAAATAAATATCACATTCGGACAAGGCCAAGCACAGTTCCAGGCATGTCGGATAGATGTAAAGCTGACATTCTCAGGACCCTGAATTCTGTGGCAAAATGCCCTAATGCCCTGCTCTATAGCTGTTCTGTTCTTACAGCATCATAAGGTATGTGGATTTGCATACACACCTCAAGGTTTATCAGAAGCCAAACATAAACATTTAAAAAGATGTCACATTGTTGTTCAGTTCCCTCCCCACAAGTGTTAACAATGTATTTTTCATTATTTTCTAGTTACTATTTAACAGACAAAAAAAATCCATAACCCATCAAGGACTGGAGTGGGTACTCTGACATAGACTGAGGTCCCATAACCTGCCCAAACAACGCCAAGCTGACAACAGCCAAAAGGGAGCAGGATGAACATCCTGGAGCAGAGACTTCCACAGCATGGACACTGCTCCTGAAAGGGACTTACCCAACCTCCTTTCTTTGGGCTGCAAGAGGATAAAGAGCAGAGGTTCAGCTGATGAGCGAAGTGTGCAGGCATTTAAAACATTGGTCTCTCAACCATTTAAAGTCTTTGAAAATGAAAACCCACTTATATATTTGTTTATTCATTTATTAAGCTAGTATATTGTTGGTGTCGTGCAAACTACAAAACATTTTGTTTAAATTGGGCCCAGATCTTGTAAGGACAGGTTGCAGAGTCTCTCTCTCTCTCTCTCTCGATATTTACAGGTCTTTCTTCTCCTTCTTGTCTGGTCAGCCAGTTTGGAGGACTAATACAAGGGACAGAACAAACTCCTCTTTTAGGGTTTCAGGGAAATGGGATGGCAGGCAGAAGAGGATGGAAACTGGGCCAGGTATCTGGAAGTGGCAGCCAAGGCAAAAACTATTTTAAAAAGAGTCGCAGCCTACGTTCATCCTTGCTTGGCGTTTCTCTCAAGAGCTGGTTGATCAACAGCTTGACTCCAAAGACAACTGAATTCCCATAGTGTGAAAATGCATCATCTCAATCTGAATCTGAAGCTTTGAAAGCACCCTCCTGCCTGTGAACATTAATGGTCACTCTCAGAGACAATTAACATCTTTGAGCATGACAACGAATGAACTCCTCCTCCCTCCAAGAGTGGAATGACTCAGAAATAATGCAAGCAAGCACCAAGAAACGTTCCTTGGTGGAACCCAAAGGCTGAAAGACACCCTGGCAGTTAGTAGAAGAAGGGTCTAGAAGGAAAAACCCATGCCGGACATATATATAACACAAGTAGAAAAACTTTTAATGACTGGCAGTTCTAATTCAGACGGCTTTTGCCCTTAAATAGGGATAAAGGTACATTAAATATCTGAAGTCAGCCCCCAGCATGTACAGGACCTGAGCACCAAACCTGTCCACGCTGCCTCTCACCAGTCTTCCTAGCAAGGGCTAAAGAAGCTGCCAGAGAACTACCCAGCCACACAGTCCCCTCCTGCTACTGGTGGCTCCGGCGCAGATTGCGCTTCTTTCTCGGGGTTGACTTCGGACCTCCAAGAGAGGCCCGAGGAGACTTCAAGAGCCTGTTCCGCTTGTGAAAGGAGCCTTTTCCCGAGACCCAGGACTGCTTTTTCTGCTTATCGGCTTTCTGCAATCCTTTAGCCTGCTTCTTGGCTTCTACTCCTGCTGAAAGGTCCCGTTTTGCAGTCCTTTTCTTAACAGCTTTCTGCCCTGCATGTTTTTCCCCTTGAGGCAAAGGTTCAGTTGCTGCTGGGGCACATCCCTCTTTTGGTGTCTGTAGCGCCGGTTCCCCACTGGGTTCTTCATCTGGAAACAAAACCAAATGTTAGACCACAAACAGTGGAGACAACAGTGAAGCAAGCAAGAAAGCAGCAACAGGGCAGGAGACCAGCAGGACAGCTAACAAAGCAAGAATACTCAGTTTTGTACAAGGACCTTCCTTGACTTCTCTGCAAAGATGCCACAGATCAGGAATTGTCTGGCTTCCAATGAGTTATCCAGGGGAAGCCATCATATCTATGAACATCCCAGCTTTTAATTCACGTTGGGTTTTGTTTTTTTTAAAGAAGTACATTTCTGGCTCCAGTTTCTATTCAAGGATCTGAGATTAGATAGTGTTTAAAACTCTAATTGTACCTATTCTACTGAACTCGGCATTAATTCAACTGATTCTACCTTGTCACATTTAGAACAATGAGTAGGAGAAAATTGCACAGGCTGATCTAGTTTAACAGATTGATTCAACTGAAACACATGCTTATAATAAACCTATTCAGGCATTATGAATCACAGTTAAGAAGAAACACAAGGAGCGCATTAGCCCTGCCCTTCCATTGCTACTGTTCCTACTATACATGAAGGATGACTTTATTAAGAGTAGGACACATGGATCATGCCTTTACTTTGCTTCATGTGTTTATGTCACCTAGTTTCATTAAGTCTGGGAAGAGTTACTGTCAAATTAGAACGGATGCTCTTCCACAAAAACTGAATGAAAACCTACAACTCACTATTAATTGGAACAGTCACTTTTATCATCTTCTATTCCTATTACCAGAACCAAAATAGGAGGTAGGGAACCTTAACCCACAGTCTTACCCTAGGAGTACTTGATCTGTACGCTGGTTCTTATCAAAATTACTTGTAAGCAAGCTCAACAATTCCATTCCCAAAATGAAATTAAGATTATTTAACCTTTACTCCAGAATCAAATCATTGGCTATTCCTGACTATCATGAAATAAAGCACATAATTTCAGTAAGGCTAAGCAGGATCAATGGCCAACAACACATAAGAGCTACATGGGTCATGAAAACTATTTAACTAGCATACACAGAAATTATTCTACTTAAGGAGCTCATGGATTTGGCTTCGCAGGGTGCAGGATTCTGGTGGGGATTATTAAGTTGCAAAACACAGTTCCAGACCAGGCAAACTCCAAATTCTTACCTTTCACAGGCTTGGGAATGGCATTGGAAAACTTCTTGAGTTTGGCAACGAAAAAGCCATCCATGTTGTGGGTGTGGGGGTAGAAACGCCGTGTAGATTTCAAAGAAGGATGGAAGCGTCGCTCCTTAAACCTGGAGGAACACAATGAAAATATGTTGCATTCCCAAAGGCAAAAGGCGTTGGAGGGACAAGCTCCCCACCCCAGTGTTCCTGTTCTAGGATGAGAAATGCACACCTGGTAAATCCTTCTTTGCCAAAGTCTAGACCTGTCGGGACCAAGCGCACATTACGTTTCTTCAGGGCATAATCCACAACCCATTCATTTTCTTCTACCTGCCAACACAGCAAACACATGAGCTGTCAGGTTCGTCAAAATCCTCCCCAGGTCAACCTTACTCTACTCCCAGGAGGAGCAGAGACCAAAGAGCAAGAGAAAAGATACTTACCATGATGGAACATGTGCAGTATACGATATAGCCACCAGTCTCTGAGGTGGCATTAACGGAGTCAATAGCACTGAGGATTAGCTCCTTCTGAAGGTGAGCGCAGCGCAGAATGTCCTTCTCATCCTAAAAGAAAAGGCCAGGCGGTGTCAATAATAGTGAAGCATACAGCCCGTCAGACTGCTGGTGTGCAATGTCCATCGGCCCTAGGCAGCATAGTCAATGAGGAGGAATGCTGGAGTTGTGGTCTGTAATACCCAGAGGGTTGCACTTTGTCCACTCTTGGGATTCAGAATGCTTCACTTCACAGCCAGCATCCTATCATGATAATCCCAGGCAAACAATTATTCAAGCAGACAAATCATAATCCAGTCAAACACTCACAGACAGTCAATTTCACTTCCTTCAGACCTGCTCAAAGAGGTACCTAATAGGTCTGACTGAAAAGGAAGAAACAGACCTGCAGTTCCAAGCCACTCTTTCCCTCTATGTTATGCATGAAAATTCAGGTCCTGGCACCCTGCTGCAGTGTCCCCCAGACCACCTTACCTTGTTGGTTTTGACTGTGGGGTCCTTAGAGATAACACCAGTGCCACTGCAGGGCGCATCAAGCAGAACCCGGTCAAAACCACCCAGGACCTTAGGAAAAGAAAGGAAATGGGTTAAGGAAGTAAGTCCCTCCTTTGATTGTACACGGTGCCTCCTCTCCCAGGATGCAACCTGGAGACCAAATTCTTTTTGTTCCTCTCCCTAATGCGACTGGTCATCAAAGCTGCCTGGATGGGCTAGCGCTAAAGGATAAACGGGTGCATTGCCTCCAAGACGTCTCTGAGGTTCCTCAGCCCACAGGTCCTTCCTCCTTCTGGCACTGCTCCCACCTTTACTCTCTCCATGAAAAATCAGTGGTAGCAATTTGTACTTTTCATTCCTCACTACTTGACCAACGTTTCCTAGCCTTCTGCATTTTACGAGCTTTATTATGTGGCAGTTTTGTATTTATCTTCCATAGGTTTTTTTTTTTTACTGCTGGTCCTCAACCTGCAATAAATCCACATTTCAAATGTCTCCAACTTATTTGTAGTAGCCTGTTTTAAAGCCCACAATCCTGCATCACACATTACAATGGAGAATATAATTACATACAAACACATATCAAGTGGAGACGAAATGCGTCTCTTAAAACCTTCTAACAACGGCAAGGGACAAGCAGACACAACTGCTCTTGCCTCTCCCTGTCACCTGCTCTCCTCCTTCACCTTGGTCACTCCAGCAGGGGAAGGAGGCGGAAGACGAGTATATTAGAAACATCACTGCTCGCCTTGTCTCTTGCTCCATCAGTGGATTTTAAGATCTTGTACTTGGCGTACAAAGTGAAAGATTCACTCCCTACTTCCCAGCAGAAGACCCTCCCACAGAGACTCAAGAGGCCAAGCATCATCAGATCCAAGAAATGCACAGGAACAGATCCTGCCTTATTAGTCATGTTACCTTGGGAAACTGGCGACCATCACAATGGCTCACAACAGTGTTGGTAACTCCTAGGCGGCGCAGGTTTCCCTCAACACTGTGCAATCTCTCAGCATTGCTGTCATTAGCCAGGATCACACCAGTATTCTTCATCAACTGGGCTGCCAAAGCAGAACACAAGTGTGCGTGTGTGTTAAACCTAGGTAGCTAGGTACCTCCAGCCCCGATTATAACGCTTAAATTATTCTCACACATCTTTCCTCTGCTATTTTTTTTCTCAAGCCAACCCAGTTCCTTCCTAGAAAATACAGAAGTTGAGTGTGGTGACCTACGAGTTCTACCTTCTACTTGCTTCCTAGTCCCCAAAATTGAAGTATTTTTTTTCTCTAGCCACCAGGAGGCATCGCTGTGATGTAGGTGAGGCAGAACAAGAAAGACAAAGAGAGCCACGCAGAGGGAAAAAGACGACGGACTTGCCCAAGGTGTGTTTTATAGCTCAGCAGGGACTGGACCCTGGATGTCCCAATGCCCAGTCTATCACTCTAACCTCGGCTTTGACATGGACTGTGAAACACAGCCAAGGTGTTCTTTTTCGGTCTTCATCTAAACCTTTTGTGCTGGTCGGCAGAAGGGAGAGGAGAGGCCCATTCAGGCCCTGAAAAACAGCACAACCTTAGTCCAGCAAGGTTCACTATCAACTACCACTGTCATCTTACTCCTTTCCTCTCCGCCTGGCGTAGAAAACAGGAAAACCCTTGCCCGAATGAGAGAAGCTTAATAGAGTACAATGTATCTGAAATCTACGACTAATCTCTACAGAGGCAGGAGAACATGAGGGGAAATGCAGAAGGCCCTCCGAGCCAAATCTTTCTTTCTTTCTTTCTTTCTTTCTTTCTTTCTTTTCTGTGTACCTGCCCACTAGAACATCCTTCTGTTTCGGACCCCGGGAGGCAACAAGAAGGGCGAGGATCAACTAACACAAATCCCACCCCCACTTCTCTACTAGTACCTATGTAGCTGGTCTTGCCTCCAGGGGCACAGCACATGTCCAAAATGCGCTCATTCTCCTGGGGGGCCAGAGCCATGACCGGAAGAAGACTGGATGCTCCTTGTAGCATGTAGTGCCCAGCCAAGTATTCCGGGGTGGCACCTAGCAGCAGAAAAGGGAAGCACACAGGCAAAGCCATGAGAACCCCTCTGCTGGGAAATCCCAGCAAGCTTGGGGGGGGGGGAAGTGGGGCTACTGACGATTCAGAGATGCTCCCCACTCACCTATGGGCACAGAGGAATCATATACAACAAGCCCAGTTTTCGACCACTTTCCTAGGGGATCTAGGTTCACTCCACGATTTATCAGCGCCTAGAAGACAAACGGAAGGGAGGAAGAGAGATAAAAGAGGGACATTATCACCACAATCAGAGAGTGAGAAGGGAAGGGCTGGGGTCGCACAGCCGTGTACGCACCTGTGCCAAGTCACGTCGCCGTGTCTTCAGGGTGTTGGTGCGGAGGGTCACAGGCCGAGGAACTTCATTGGACTCCAAGAAATCCACCAGCTAAAAGGTGGGGGCGGGCGTGATAGGAGAGACAAAAACAAGAACATCACAGAAAGGCAACAGTGATTGGTCACCTGACCTAGCAGAGGGAAAAGCTTGGAAAGCCAGCAACTGATCAAACAGACCTCAGTCTATTACTGTAACTGCATCAACAAACTTTCTTGCCAAATAATATTTTGAGGCCACCCCTCCAGGTTCCTACACCACCCACATCAAGGCAAGAAAAGGCTTTTTACTCATAAAATCCTAACTTTGAAATGCTCTTCCCAGGGAGGTTTGACTGACAGAGAGCCTGATGCCTTTTTTTTTCTGTGCCAAACATCTTTTTTTGTTCAGCCAGGTCTTTCAAATACTGAGTTTTATGCAATATTTTTTTATTATTTCTGCTGATGCTATCCTGTTTTGTTTTATAACTTAGGTTCATTCATTGCTGGTTTGCCTTTATATTGGCCAGCCACTCTGGGTGTTTGCTACTGAGGAGTAATAAAATAAATAAATAACACATTGTAACAAAGCACGAGTTACAATCATCATCATCCAATGTTTATGATCAGCCAGAAGATCAGCATCAGACACTATGACAGGACATGGGCTGTCAATTCATGGCCTGTGCTGATTTAGGGTGAGGTTGGAACTGGTAAGCCACACAGTGTCATTTCCAGAGGGTAATGAACTAATAAGACACGGTGGATTTATGAAGCCAAGCAAAGTAGATGGTGGGAGAAGGTAGGAAGAAACACATGCTCAGTCCTCAAACTGCATTCTTGGAAGTTAGAACAAATGATGTGTTGAGTTCTAAACTGGGAGCAAAAGCCGTACGCTGGTGAGATGAATGCAGCCAATGTGACCTTGACCACACTCGTACTTTGCTTTTCACACTCCTCTAATTTCCCCTGATCTACAAAGATGATGTTAACTCTTCAAGATCCATTTGTGGAAGGGGCACCTGGTGTTGTGGGGAGGGGAGTGGAAGTATCTCCATGTGCTTCTCTCTTCCTTTCACAGAATTGCAGTTCAACATTTCCTATTCTCTCAAATCATCTATTACCTCCTCCCCACATCTTTAACCATGTACAGGTATTATATAAGCTAGGACTGCTATTTTAATCCTCTCCCCAACTGCTGCTCACCAGGGCATAAAAGGTGGGCGGGTGTGGGTGCATTTTATAAGAAAAAACAGTACCTCTGAGAGTGGGAAGAGTTCCATCATCTTCTCGATTAAGAAATCACTGTAAGAGTAGTAAGCAGCAAGGTCTCGACGCAGAAGGCCCAGGTACTCCTGCCGGGAGTGCCCCTCCTCTCGCTTTGCACTGAAGTCCTGGAGCACCTCTATGTTATCCTTTATACGCTGATGAATGAGCTGCAGATCCGGAGGCTGAGCAGGTGAAGTGGTAGTCAAGGCACATCAGCAAATCTATAAAGCAGGCTTATGCCAAGTCAGGCTCTTGGCTCAAACCTACCCCGCCCAGGGCTGTTCCTCTATGTCTGGCAACGGCCCTTCCAGGCCTTGGGCAAGAAGCAGGCTTTTAGGACCCTGATGTCCGTGATCCTTTTCATTAGAGGTCGAGCCTGAGATCATTGAGGGATCAACCCCTTTCCAAGTGTAAAGCAAAGGAAGCAAATAATCTACTGAGGATCCTGATGCCAAGTATACCAAGCACACTGCTAAGGAGCCCTGGGCCTGAAGTTAGTTCACATGTTGGAGAGCAAACATTCGTCATTCCCTGTTCAAAGGGCAAACCAGTCATGCTGAAAGACTTTACCAGTTCTGCGTAAGACAGGAAATGGGGCGCATATCTGACCCAACTCGCAAGGCAGAGCAGGTTTAAGCATTCGAAGAATGCATGCATACACATAATCTCATTAATCCTTCTCAAAGTCCTTTTATATAAAACAGAATTTCAACCCCTTGCATTGCAGCAGATTTTAAGTTACGTTCCAGCACTTGAGAAATTTAAAAGTAAAACAGGAATCAAGGACCATCCAACTCACATATGCTTTTGCTTGCCAAAAGGAAGCGCAAAGGGTCATAAAATGAAAGAAATGAAAAAAAAGGGATATGATTGCACCCCTCTGCCACACTGAACATGCCTCCCCACCAACTCGCCCGTACCCTCCCATTTAATTATATGGGATCCACCCAGAAAAAAAGAGGATATTTTCTTTCTCAATCTCCTGTCCACTGGGAAGCACAAAGCGTTCGTCTGTGTCTACGTTGAGTTGCAGGTCCCCATCTTTGTTTTGCTCATCCTTCACATCATCCTGCTTGTGGGGCAGGGTCTCCTCCTCTTCATCATCCTCACTGTCATCCTCACCGAAGCCCTGTCTGTAATGTTAAAAAAAAAGGGGGGGAAAGGGGTTTTGTCATCTGTGGTGGGGGTGGGTGGCAACTTTTACCAGCCTGAGAGCCAGAAGTGGTACTTTCTGGACCACCAAGAGTTGCACACGGCGCACGGATGTATGGACACACATATGCAAACACACATCTGTTTCTCCGCCATACACTGCTTGCTGAAGCCTGCAGGTGCAGCCTTCGCACTTTCTCACATTCCGATAAGCCTGTTCAATATCACTGAGATGTAGGTACAGTTAAAGACCTGTCCTCAGCTTGTGCACCCGTTTCACGTTGGTCAAGAGGGACAGTTTAACTTCCTGCTGCTGCTTCCAAAAATCTTGTTGGAAAAGGACATGTGTAGCAAAGACTGTCTTGCTGGGCCTCATTCATGGCTACTGATGTTTCTGCTGTGCGTTTGCTCCATGTGAAGGGTGTCATCCCCCACCCCACAGATTTCCTTGCAGAATTAAGCTCCTGCCAACCACCCAACATTTCTTTCCAGGGTCAGAGTTTGATTCTCAGCAGAGGAGAGCGTACTCCCCATTGTCATGGTGGTCACAAGCCCAGGACTGTAATAGTAGCAGCAGGGGAAGGGACGGAGGTCCAGGCCACACACTGCGGGTCACCCCACCACAGGAAAGGACCTATAAAAGACACAAAGCCAACCAACAAACCCTAACCTCTTGGATTACCTACCCATCCATCTTCTCTTTCCGAGCTGCTTGTTCTATTGGGAGGAGCTGCATTTAAAAATAAGGAATCAGAGAAAGAGTGGCTTAATTAGATGCCAGAAGCACCATCCACACACAGAAAAAGACAGTCAGGAACAGCTAATGTAGACCCACAACAGAAGCCTGGAATGAAAGGAGGCGGTAGCATGAAGCTCCACATCTTCAACTACAAATAGAGGTGCTGTACTAGTGTTTTCAGAATCCAACACCCAGAATCCCCTATGGAGCTGTGGTCCAAAAACAGAAGTGTAGAGTCCTTTAATTATACATAGCCAAACTTATATTAATTTTCTAAGTGCAAACATATCTTAGAAGTAGTTCAACAGAGACCCAATTCAAGTTTCTAATGACTTGTGACACAACAATGGTATTCAGACACCAAAGGAAGGTGATCACAGCCACCTTAATTGCAAAGAATATAAATTACACTTGGAGCTATCCAGTGTTGTGGAATTTCTTCATGCACCCCTAGAGGGGCACACTTCAACCCCTTCCCCTTGTTTCCAAACTATTAACAGAATCGTTAAAAGCATCATGCAAAATAACACAATATTATTATCCCTTCACTGGTGATGGAGACCTGAATAGGCAGAGAAAAAAAATCCATCTGGGGAATTGCCAGCTTGTACCTCAAGCACATGAGACCAAATCCTTCCCTCTTTATTTGAGAAATATTTACATCCATTTATAATAGTAGTATTTGAACTAAAGTACCAACAATTCTTACCTCCTCTCCCTCATCATTGGATGACAAAGCTCCGTAATCATCCACCATTTCATCCTCACTGACATCATCCTCATCGCTCTCCCAGAGACCCTCCGCCACATCACTGCCACTGTCTTCCTCATCACTCTCTTTCAGACTGGGTCCCTTTTTTCCAGAGGCAGCAGGAGTAAGCCATGCAGCATTGTCGTCACTGTAACCAGTTCGGCAGCCATCTTGCCCTTCTTCTGCTCTCTCATTCTCGTCTTCCACCGATGAGTTCTTTGAAGCTACAAAGAAAGATGAAGGAACAGCTGGGAAGAAGCAGCTACATGGAAAACAAATGCTGATATTTGTGTACAAGTTCAAGAGCACTTCATACTTTTCCTGTGCCAAAGAAAGTATAAATCCACATCTCAGCCTAGCATCAAGGCATTTTAGAAAAAAGCAACTTGTTATGGAAAATAGTAAATAAAATCAAAGAGCTCAGTCTCACACAAAGATAAAATCCAGAAAACCCTGAAGAAAGTATCTACCATATAAACATGTTACATGAATGGGACAGAGCGATGACACTGGTGTTATTTTCTGAACATCACTGATGTTGTTGCCTTAACAATACACTGGTTTGATATCCATAAATATTTTTTTCTGTTTTATTATGTTTTATTTTAAGGAAGGAAAGTGTATTTCGTAAAAAGCAATAAAATAAATTGTGTAGCAAATAAATGAAAATGTTAGTACATCTATTATCGGTACCACTAAGACAAAAATTCTGCCACAGTGATAAGTAGCCGAACCCAACCTGATCATTTCCCAGCACATCCCTTTCTCTTGTGATAAAGGAAAGATCAGGTTCAATTCCCACCTTCTGATCCCAGGGGTTCAACTGGAGTAAGGCTACAATCTTTGCTCAGCAGATGAATCAACTAAACGCCTGCTAATTTATGGGCAAGAGCAAACTGTAATCTAAGGCTGATGTTTGAAGGCATGACTTTCTGACTTTTTAGAGCTCGCTCTATGAAAAGAAACCTGGTATTTCATAGTAGCTTCCAGAAATAATTTTTAGTAACTAGAAGTGAATTTCTAGCCCCTCCTGGTATTGCCAGAAGGGGTTCAATGCACCTCTAAGTGGCTCCCAGAGTATGGAAAATGGCCATGGGACCCTCCAACTTTGCCCACCCCAGACTATATCCTTGGGAATACTCCAAAGAATCAGGATAAATAAGTCAATCCATAAATTTCCATCTTTTGGTGCCTAACATAATAGGTTCTTATCTGCTTTCTTTTCCCTGTCTTTTGGGCGAGGGATAGCCACCGTCATGTGGAGTGTGATGGGCATGGGCTGGTTATGCTAGGTGTTTCCTAGCAGAATGTCTCACTGTGCTGATCATCCAGGTGATTCAGGGCATGGCGTCTGTTCCTTTTGCAAGACAGAAACAAGTGCTGCCATCGTTTTGGATTGACTCTACCTAAAAGAGATGTTCCTAAATGTGAGCAGAGATAGAGATGTTGAAGACGGCACCCCTAAAATATACTCTCTGGCCAGGCCAAGGTACTATACTAAACACAGCAGAGTCTGGCAAAGGAAGGAGACACACCTAGAAGGGAGAAACAGGTGGAAATCAGATGCACCCCACCTCATCTCTCATCTAACAAACTCTCTAGAAGCCAATCAACATCTGTGGTGGAAACGTTCCCTTGAATTCCACAAATAACGTTCAGCAGTTATTCTGAAGTTGTACTTTACATTAACAGAAGAAAGCGGGATCCTACCAATTTGAAGCGATTAATGTGAACCGATTAATGTTTGCCATAGGCGAACATTTACTCTTACCTGCCAACATCTGGCAACCAGGGACATTCTTGCCTGTCTGAAGTTTTGAAGACATGATCCGCCTCTTTGCAGCTCTAAAATCAGACAGAAGAATGAACAAAAAAGCAACTGGGTCTAATGTAAGAAAGCAAAATAGGTCTATATGCTTAAGCTTGTTTACTCGAACAGATTATTCAGGAAAGCGAAGATTTAAAGCCAGGTCTACCCTTGTTCACATGGATTTCCAATCTGGGGAAGGAAGCAGCACATGAAATGGGAATCCAACCGGTTTTGGAAAGAGGTGAGAACTTTAGCCTTGAAATGCCATTAATACCAGAGCTTACAATGTGCTTTCCAGTAGGATTAAAATGAAAAATAAAGATAGAAATGGCTCTATCACATACCTAAATTATGGCTGACCTTTGAGCAAAGCTAATTAAGCCCAAGGAAAACAGAATGGCATAGAAAAGTTCAGGAATTATTCAATGCTGCTGTGTAGTATCAGCCAATCACCACTCAGGATGTGGTGATCTGCTGCTAATTATCAAGGGTTCCAGCAATTATTATCTGTATTTCAACAAAAACAATCCTTCTAACAGAGACTACAGAATTCAACCCCACCCCCTCACCCACTCGACAGATACATACTTGGCATGACAGCTAGACTTAGGCCATTAAGAAATGCCATTTCTGGTCAATTGCAGTATACAATTAACACTTGGCGTCTCAGGTAAGGCCTTGAAACTGTGCTCATTTAGAATACTTTGTCACCTAACAAATCCATCGCTAGTGGGCAGCTAAATTTTTTAAAGGCGAAGAAATTTCATTCTAGACAAATAGCAAATGTTTGTAACTCAGTACACTGACCTTCTCCGAGCATGACTGGAAAGCTTCTTTGTGTTCTCATCAGGAGCTGGAGGGGGGAAACAGACAGATGATGCAAGGAATCTCTTAAGACTCTGAGCAAGGAGAGCAAGCACGGACAGGAAACCATGAAGGACTCCTGTCCCCATTTCACATTCAGCGTGTTCTCAAGAGAAGCAGACCCTTGTTCTGGGAACTTGAGCTACCATGTTCCAACCTCCATTCCACTGAGGGGATCCCATCACCACATAACATCTCTTCATGTGACACGATTGAATCCCTTTCCTCAAAATGAAAGAGAGGGCAGTATTTCAGGCAAAAGGAAAGTTGCTCATCATCCTCTCCCATCTTCAGTACAAACCAGTTTGCCTGTACAGTGGTGCCTCGCTAGACAGTTACCCCGCATGACAGTTTTTTCGCTACGCATTGGCTTTTTGCGATCGCTATAGCGATTCGCAAAACAGTGATTCCTATGGGGGAATTTCGCTGGACAATGTTTGGTCCCTGCTTCGCGAACCGATTTTCGCTAGACGACAATTTTGACAGCTCCCTCCACGCTTGCAAACAGGTGTTTTCGGGACATAAGCTTCGCAAGACAGCGACTTAAACAGCTGATCGGCGGTTCGCAAAGCGGCTTTCCTATGCGCGATCTTTGCTAGACAACGATGATTTTTCCCCATTGGAACGCATTAAACAGGTTTCAATGCATTCCAATGGGGAAATGCTTTTCGCTAGACAATGATTTCACTAAACAGCGATTTCAGTGGAACGGATTATCATCGTCTAGCGAGGCACCACTGTACAGAAAAAGGCCACAGATTACTTTTTGTGGCCTTTTTCTGTAGGATGAGAAGTTACAAGTCACTTTGTGTGAAGAGTGGGGAGGATCAGTTCCAACACGCAGCAGTTAAACTGAAGTACTGCAGTCAACCTCTGCTCATGACCTGAGTTTGATCCTGACAGATTCAGGCAGCTGGCTCAAGGCTGACACATCCTTCCAAAGTGGGTAAAATGAATAGCCAGCTTGTGAGGGGAGGGGGAAGCTGTTTTTTTTGCACAATTATGTTCTAAACTGCCCAGAGAGTACTTTAGCACTATGTAAGTTGACAAAAACACCAACTACATTAGAGCCCAACATTCATTCTCCTAACACTACATTATTACAGCATTTGTCTATGCTAAAACACCCTAATAAAGGGCAATAAACAAGGGATGGAGGAAAGAGACCAAGCACTTCCTTTTATAAATGTGTCTACTTACTCCACTGTTCCAGTTTAATTTTTTAAAATTTCACTGAAGAACAATATCATTCACCATACACCAGCCCCCCTCATTATTTTTCATTGTCAGCTGTAAACCTATGGGTATTCTGGGAGTGCTGATGAGGTAACCAATAAGAGAATGATCTGTTGTCAGAACAGAAAACTAACTATAAATGCCAAATAATGCAGTGAGCATCAGGGCTCTTTCTTCCTTACTACAGTATTCAGGGAGCGCGCTCTTGCCCAGCACAGGGCCCAGGTCGAGAACTCCAGTTATGCCAATCGAGTAGTTGCGGGGCTGGGGGGAGAGGGGCGGACAGGAGCAAACTCGCGGTACACTCACGGAAATAATGGCAGAGATAAATTCTAAACTGGGTATTTCTCTAACATGGGTGGCTAGCATGCAAAGAATATACATTATCATGCAATGAATACAGCGCCACGTAATAAAGTACACCCCACGTCCTAGGTGCTCAGGACCCTCTGGCACACGTCAAACGGCCCTCTGCTCCTTTCTCACTCTTCAAGCCCCCGACCCTAGGGCTCCGGGGACCGCATTCCCCCACGTGCTTCGCCCGGGCTCTGCGCCCTTTAGCCGCGATCAGGCAGGACTGGCGCCCGCCCGACTCCCGTCCCCGCTTACCGGGCGGCAGAAAACGAGCGAGTTCCTCCTCAGCTCCGCGCTGCTTTCGGGCCTTGCGCCCCGGTCCCCGCTTCACTTTGCGGGTCGGGTCCAACTTGCGCCCCATCTCGGAAGCCGCCTCACCTCCCTCGGCCTGTCCGCCCACGTGTTCCCTGCCGAGAGGGCAGCGCACTTCCTTCCGCTCTTTCCAAGCGGCCTCCCATTGGCCAGTTGGGCTTCTCTCTTACTTTTGTCGCCTTGCGATTGGTTGGGTGGGCCGAATTTTCTTTGATCCATAGACTCTTTCTCTTATAGAGGGACCCACGCAGTGGTCCCGATTTCGACCAGGCCAGTTTTCATTCTTTTCTTTCCGTTACCCGGGACTAGATGGGAAGGCTTCGGGAAAAAAACAACAGAAAAATGGGGGGGGGGGACAGCTTTTCCTGTTTTTTTCCAAAGCCCTTTTTTTGTTTTGTTTTTTTCAGAAAAATTGAAAAAAATATGGAGTGTGGAAATTCTCTTATAGAGGGAACCACGCAGTGGTCCCGATTTCGATCAGGACAGTTTTCATTCTTTTCTCTCCGTTACCCGAGACTACAGATGGGAAGGCCTCGGGAAAAAAACAAACAGAAAAATGGGGGGGGGGGGGAAACAGCTTTTCCTGTTTTTTTTCCAAAGCCCTTTTTTGTTGTTTTTTTTCAGAAAAATTGAAAAAAATATGGAGTGTGGAATATATTCTTCTACAATGATAAATAATACGTTTGCGGCATGGTCCTCAAACTATATAACATGAAGACGTTAAAGAAAGACTTCTGAGACTTTATGCATTTAAGTTCTCTGACTTTCGCGTGCAGATTCGGGTGGAATCGGACCTCTTTGGAAAGTGGACCGTTGGTGAGCAAGGTCTGTTGAATGTGGGATTGCTCTTGCTGGTCATCCATTATCCCAACCACCCAAGCCTCGCCTCTGAAATCCGATATTGGGAAGCTGTTCTCAGTCACAGCCTCGTGCTTTGCTGCCTTGCACGCGGAAACGTGTAAAGATCGGATAAATAACTTTTTCATATGAAAGGAAGGTTGAGTTAGACAGAGGAGGAACCCCTCTTTCCTCTGCCTTTCCTCTCTTGAGGAGGCAGGCTGCTGCTCTCCAGCATGAAACTCCCAGTTACCATGGATTTCCCCCTTGATTTCAACGGGCAGATTTCCACTTCTGTCACCGGAAGGAAATAACAATTTAAAAAAAGGTGGAGAAAAATGGAAACTCCAGCTTTATCCCTCCACTTTTCTTATCTCTGGGTCTCAAAAAGGCCATTCTCCGCCGCGCCCAACCTCTTCCGCCCGCTGCAGCCAATCACCTGCGAGAGATAAGCTGCCCTCAGCATCAGTCCTTGATGGTGCCGGACCAGGGAAGAAGGGATATTCTCTTAAACTGTAAAAAGGTCAGTCTCCACATTGTCGTTCTAGCATTGTTGTTCACGAAAGAGGTTCTTACATCCTTTACACTACAGCATAAACCTCAATGGGATATACCTATATATCATAGAGACTGCCACATAGCCACTTTCTTCTTCGTCGTCCTTTACTGTCGTTAAGTCGTGTCCGACTCTTCGTGACCCCATGGACCAGAGCACGCCAGGCCCTTCTGTCTTCCACTGCCTCCCAGAGTTGGGTCAGATTCATGCTGGTAGCTTTGATGACACTGTCCAACCATCTCGTCCTCGGTCGTCCCCTTCTGCTCTTGCCTTCACCCTTTCCCAACATAAAGGTCTTTTCCAGGGAGTCTTCTCTTCTCATGTGATGGCCAAAGTATTGGAGCCTCAGCTTCAGGATCTGTCCTTCCAGTGAGCACTCAGGGTTGATTGCCTTCAGAATAGATAGGTTTGATCTCCTTGCAGTCCAGGGGACTCTCAAGAGCCTCCTCCAGCACCACAATTCAAAAGCATCAATTCTTCAGCAGTCAGCCTTCTTTATGGTCCAGCTCTCACTTCCATACATCATGACAGAAAAAAACCATAGCTTTGACTATTTGGACTTTTGTTCGCAAGGTGATGTCTCTGGTTTTTAAGATGATGTCAGGGTTTGTCATCGCTTTCGTCCCAAGAAGCAGGCATCTTTTAATTTCGTGGCTACTGTCTCCATCTGCCGTGATCATGGAGCCCAAGAAAGTAAAATCTGTCACTGCCTCCATATCTTCCCCTTCTATTTCCCAGGAGGTGATGGGACCCGTGGGCATGATCTTAGTTTTTTTGATGTTGAGTTTCAGGCCATTTTTTGGACTCTCCTCTTTCACCCTCATTACCAGGTTCTTTAATTCCTCCTCACTTTCTGCCATCAGAGTGGTATCATCTGCAAATCGGAGGTTGTTGATATTTCTTCCGGCAATCTTAATTCCGGCTTGGGTTTCTTCCAGTCCAGCCTTCCGCATGATGTATTCTGCATATAAGTTAAATAAGCCGGGGGACAATATACAGCCTTGTCATACTCCTTTCCCAATTTTGAACCAATCAGTTGTTCCATATCCAGTTCTAACTGTTGCTTCCTGTCCCACATATAAGTTTCTCAGGAGATAGACAAGGTGGTCAGGCACTCCCATTTCTTTAAGGACTTGCCATAGTTTGCAGTCAAAGGCTTTTGCATAGTCAATGAAGCAGAAGTAGATATTTTTCTGGAACTCTCTGGCCTTCTCCATAATCCAGCGCATGTTAGCAATCTCGTCTCTAGTTCCTCTGCCCCTTTGAAATCCAGCTTGTACTTCTGCGAGTTCTCAGTCCACATGCTGCTGAAGCCTGCCATGTAGGATTTTGAGCATAACCTTGCTAGTGTGTGAAATGAGTGCAACTGTATGGTAGTTGGAGCATTCTTTGGTATTGGGATGTAGACTGATCTTTTCCAGTCCTCTGGCCACTGTTGAGCTTTCCAAACTTGCTGGCATATTGAATGTAGCACCTTAACAGCATCATCTTTTAAGATTTTAAATAGTTCAACTGGGATGCCATCACCTCCACTGGCCTTTTTGTTAGCCAGGCTTTCTAAGGCCCACTTGACTTCACTCTCCAGGATGTCTGGCTTAAGGTCAGCAACTACATTGTCTGGGTTGTCTGGGATATCCAAATCTTTCTGATATAATTCCTCTGTGTATTCTTGCCACCTCTTCTTGATGTCTTCTGCTTCTGTGAGGTCCCTCCCATTTTTGTTCTTTATCATGTCCATCTTTGCACAAAATGTTCCTCTAATATCTCCAATTTTCCTAAACAGATCTTTGGTTTTTCCTTTTCTGTTATTTTCCTCCTATTTCTTTGCATTGTTCATTTAAGAAGGCCCTCTTGTTTCTCCTTGTTATTCTTTGGAAATCCGCATTCAATTTTCTGTAACTTTCCCTATCTCCCTTGCATTTTGTTTCCCTTCTCCTCTCTGCTATTTCTACGGCCTTGTTGGACAGCCACTTTGTTTTTTTGCTTTTCTTTTTCTTTGGGATGGTTTTTGTTGCTGCCTCCTACACAATGTTACGAGTCTTTATTCAAAGTTCTTCAGGCACTCTGTCCACCAGGTCTAGTTCCTTAAATCTGTCTTTCACTTCCACTGTGTATTCATAAGGGATTTGGTTTAGATTATACCTGAGTAGCCAAGTGGTTTTTCCTACTCTCTTCAGTTTAAGCTTGAATTTTGCTATGAGAAGCTGATGATCAGAGCCACAATCAGCTGCAGGTCTTGTTTTTGCTGACTGTATAGAGCTTCTCCATCTTTGGTTGCAGAGAATATAATCAATCTGATTTTGATATTGCCCATCTGGTGATTTCCATGTATAGTCACCTCTTGTGTTGTTGGAAAAGAGTGTGTGAAATGATCAGCTTATTGTCGTGACAACTCTATTAGCCTTTGCCCTGCTTCGTTTTGAACTCCAAGACCAAACTTCCCTGTTGTTCCTTTTCTCTCTTGACTCCCTACTTTGGCATTCCAGTCCCCTAGAATGAGAACATCTTTCTTTGGTGTCAGTTCTAGAAGGTGTTGTAAATCTTCATAAAATTGTTCAATTTCAGTCTCCTGAGCAATGGTGGTTGGTGCATAAACTTGGATTATTGTGATGTTGAAAGGTCTGCCTTGGTTTCTTACCAAGATTTCTGTATTTTGATGCCATGTATATTTGCCATGTGCTCTGGTCCATGATCCCATTCGGACACAACTAAACAACAAACTGCAGAAGCCTCTGTGCTGCGGGGTCAGAAGACCAAGCAGTTGTAAGATAGAATCCACGCGATAGAGCGAGCTCCTGTCGGTTGTCCCAGCTCCTGCCAACCTAGCAGTTTGAAAGCATGCAAATGCGAGTAGATAAATAGGTGTCACCGTGGTGGGAAGGTAAACGGTTCTGTGTCTGGTCGCGCTGGCCACATGACCACGGAAATGTCTACGGACAAACGCTGGCTCCACGGCTTGGAAACGGGGATAAGCACCGCACTGTAGAGTCGGACACGACTGGACTAAATATCAAGGGGAATCTTTACCTTAGATCTTTTATTTTTGATTTTTAAATCTATTTCAAAAAACAACTCTCTCAAGTGGATGGCTGCCAATGTGGGGTTTCCTTAATCCTAAGGAATTGGGCCCCCTCCTTTCATGGTTATTCAATGATTGGCCAATGGTCTCCTAATGGAAAGGTGGGTATGCAAGCAAAGTTACAGAACTTGGGGATATTTGAGGTGTCCCTCTACATCTGTAGATGCCTCAACTTGTAGTGTCTCACTAGTGTACATTTTGGTGGCACCAACTGCACACTGCATTCTCTTATGTATACAGTATTTGAAAAGCAAATCCCCAGTGATTTAAAGATCCCTAGATTACTCTGTCGATAGCATGTTCATCTTCCAAGAACAAGAAATGACTTAACAATCTATCTCAGTATGTATTCGCGAAGGCCTGCATGGCTGGGATCTAATGGTTGTTGTGGGTTTTTCGGGCTCTTTGGCCGTGTTCTGAAAGTTGTTCTTCCTAACGTTTCACCAGTCTCTGTGGCCGGCATCTTCAGAGGAAGAACAACCTTTAGAACACGGCCAAAGAGCCCCCAAAACCCATAACAACCATTATCTCAGTATGCTTTGTAGCATAAAACATTAGAAAAGAGCATTTAAGCTAAAGGCACTGTTTGCATAGTGAATGCTTGGGTTAATTTCTTTAATCCCTGATACGTAACTCCCATAATGAAAAGGATGATGTTAGCTTTCCT